ATGACACAGATGAAAAAGCCCTGCCGACTGCTCTACGGACTTGCTCCATCTCTTCAGCAGGGCTGCTCGAGTCCGCAGGCCAAAACACAAAAACAGAGAAAACTCTCTGTTGCACAGACCGTGCAAGGAAGGGGAAAGAAAAAAAAGGATACCCGCAGCAACCCGCGGACTGTACAAGAGGAAGGGAAAAATCCAAAAGAAATGTGCACAGGTGTGCAGACTACACCACACGTGTAACCTGTCTGCACACCCTACAACTACAGGGGAAAGAAAAGGATGCCTGCACGAGTCCACAGACTCATACAAGAGCAGGCAAAGAAAAAAAGACTCCCTTTTCAGGGCACAGACTGCTGCCTGAGAACACCACAACACAGCGTCCTCCTGCAACGAGCACGCCAAGAGCCGCTCTGGACGCTGAGGCCTTGCGTGCACCAGGGCAACTTCCCCTTGACAGCGCTGTGACGTGGCAGCCCGCCGCTGACATCACAATAGCAGCCGCTCTAGGTGGGTCTGTGAATTCATGCATTGTGGGAAATGGAGAAATGGAAAATTCCACAGATGCTGAAGGCTTCAATCTGCAGCCTTGGAAAGAGCTTGGGGTAATGTCATGATGAAGGTACACAGAAAGGAGTTACCTAAGTGAGTCTTTGGAGTTTCCTGCAAGGAAGAAGCCCTGGGACAGCAAGCAGCATTCCCAGGCTGCTCTCGGGGGGAAAATCCCAACAAGCTGAGGACTCTGGATGAATGGGTGAATATTGATTGTGAGCTACACTGGCCTGCAATGGCAAGGTTCTGGCCACAAAAGTAATGAATGGGTGAATATTGATTGTGAGCTACACTGGCCTGCAATGGCAAGGTTCTGGCCACAAAAGTAAGGGGCACTTAGTGTACTCGTGTCAAAATTCTGCATCTTTCTGGGAACCAGAGGAACGCTGCCTCCTCCTGTGAGGAACTCAGCTTGGGAAGCAATCCTTCCCTCTGCTTTGGGTTTTGTCTTTTTCATTCTGGACAGCAGCTGTTTGTAACACCAGCCGAGCCTGCCTCCAGCCTGGCTGACTGGACCCTGTCAGCAAAGGAAGAGCAGGAAGCCTGCAGAGGAGGCAGTGGTGCTTGAGGAGGCTTTGTGCCCTGCCGGCTCAGCGCAGGCCTGGCAATCAAACGCCCTGAAGCCTGCCCTCCATGGCAAGATTCCCTTGCTCGCCGGGCTGCGCTTAAGCTGTGAGTTGCCCTGGCGCTGTGCGTTGCTCTGGCGCTGTTGCGGACGGACGGACAGACGGCCGGCCGGGCCCGTCTGTGGCTCGGCCCTGCTCCGCAGCCGCCCGAGGCTCTCCCCCCTCACAGAGGGGCCCCGCCCCGCCCCGGGCGCCCCCTGGTGGCTGCCCCGCCCCGCCCGCCCCGCGCGGGGGCGCCCCCTTCCCATGGCGCCCCCAGCGGCAGCCGCCCCTCCCTGCAGGCACGGAGCGGCCTCGGGCCCTGCTGCTCATCCTGGCACTTGTGTCCCTTCTCTGCCAACAGCCAGAAGGCTTGAAAGGAAGTGCTCAACAACCGTTTCCCTCTGTGTCAGCTGCCCCCTGCCCAGCGAGGCAAACATTGACTTTCAGATAAGCATTGGACAAGTGACAGGTGTGGTTCTTTAAA